GACAGTGTCCTTTGCTTTACAGAAGCTTCTCAGTCTCAGGAGGTCCCATTTATTCAATGAGGCCCTTAATGTCTGTGCTGCTGGGGTTATATGTAGGAAATGGTCTCCGGTGCCCATGTGTTGTAGAGTACTTCCCACTTTCTCTTCTATCAGGTTCAGTGTGTTCGGACTGATATTGAGGTCTTTAATCCATTTGGACTTGAGTTTTGTGCATGGTGATAGATATGGATCTATTTTCATTCTTCTACAGGTTGACATCCAGTTTTGCCAGCACAATTTGTTGAAGATGCTCTCTTTTTTCTATTGTATACTTTTAGCTCCTTTATTGAAAATCAGGCGTTCATATGTTTGTGGGTTAATGTCAGGGTTTTCTATTCGATTCCATTGGTCGACTTCTCTGTTTTTATACCAATACCAAGCTGTTTTTAATACTGTACCTCTGTAATAGAGTTTGAAGTCAGGGGTGGTAATGCCTCCAGACGATCCTTTATTGTATAAGATATCCTGGGTTTTTTTGTTTAAACAAATTTTATACTAAAAGTTAGACATTATCTGTTCAGTGCATTTCATCCCACAGAAACTCCTGGAGATTTCAGTGCTGAGAGAAGGCCCCCAATGGCCGTGATCTACGGGTTGAGAACCACTGCCCTAGCTGGTCTAGCCACCCTGAGAGAATCTTCCTCCAGAAGGGAAAAGGGAAGACAGCTGAGCCTGAAATGGAGAATTAACAAACGGTGCTGCTCAGTGCTCATGGCAGACTTCCTCATCTCAGCTGTGCCCAACACAGGCCTTAGCTCCACTCCCTTGTCTCGGGAATTCAAAGAGAGGAACCCACGGACAAGGCTGAGTCCCAAAAAGGTTTTTGGCTATTATAGACAGAAAGCTTGGGGACTAGGGAGACAGATTTTTGGTTAAAGCATCCTGCACATAGAGAGGACCCCAGGTAGGGTGGCTGACAAGTACCTGTAACCCCAACTCCACAATCCAACTGCCTCTTCAGGCCTCCACATGCCAACTACCCTCACATGCGCATAGCCCCACACAGAAAAGCATACAGACAAAGAATAAGCCTTTAACAAGCATAAAAGGGAAAGCTTAAAGATGAAAAAGATTTGGGGCAGAGGATCTGGAGAGATGGTTCATTGGTTAAGAGCACTGGCTGCTTTTCCAGGGACCCAGGTTCAGTTGTCAGCACCCGATGGCTCACAAGCATCTGTGGCTCCAGTTCCAGTGACCTGACACCCTTTTCTGATCTCCATGGGCACCACACACACACATGTGGCATAGATACATGCATGGAGGTAAAATGCCCATGCATATAAAAAATCTAAAAAATATATTTTAGCATTTATGGCAGAAAGTAGTACTCCAGAAAGAAGACAAAACTCCTGAGAGAGACCCAAGATATGGCAAAAACACCAGCTGTTTTTTTCTAGCAGCTCTTTGTAGGACTTCTGGCAGAAAGGAGCCCAAGACAGAAGTAGTTTCTATTGAGACTGGATAGCATGTTGAGCATATCATAAGAGGGCACTCACTATGTAAGTCTCTGTGGACCAACCATGCAGGGGACCACGTGCCACGTATGCACTGTTTGCCAGCTAGGGAAGTGGGACCACACGAAACCTGTGTGTTGTGTGCTATTTTAATCTCATTCTGACAATAAAGCTTGCTTTACGAAAGTGAAGAGGAGCAGCCCAAGGTTATTAGAAACCAACCTTAATTTACCCAGTTACCACTCAAGAATGACCACCAGATGCTAGGCACCCTCCCCCCAAGGCTATTCAGAAGTTAACTGGGATCCTATTGAAAGGTTAGATTTGGGGAAATCTACGGTAGCAGTTGTTTTATATGGTATGTATTCATCTTTTGGGAAGTAGATTTTAAATTCTTGGGCCACTTGGAACAGGATTATTCCATGAGACTAAAAACGTTTAGTGACAGCTCAGCCTCAGTTCAAGCGGAGAACCTGGTCGAGAGATGTAGCTAGGGTCCATCAAACAATGGGATAGTTCTAGAAGTTAGGAGATTTCCCAAGATCAAATACCTGGCGAGGACAGTAAGCAAGTAGGAGTGTTACAGCTCTGGAGCTGCAAAGATATCCTGACTTATCCTGTTCCTGGAGCCGCAGTAGGACAGCTCAGCCCTGGAGGGACTTGTGGTGCCAAGGTGCAGTGGGTGAGCAATCGTGTTCCTCTCCTAGAACGCCTCTGCAGCTGAGCTCTCTGCTCTGCTTCTCTGACTGATCGTCCTGGCAGGGTTATCTGCTGCTTCTTCTGAGGCCAAGATGTTACTTCTGCTACGCTCTGCTAAAGGGAAGCTGATACAGAGGTGCAGCAATAGCCTCCCGTCCGAGCCAAAAGTTGTTACTTTTTCTGCTCAGCCTTGCTCAGGCCTGCTAAGGGAGTGTCTCAGAAAGGTTTTTCTGCTCAGTCTCCTAAGGAACATCCTAGTCAGGTTTTTCTATTCAGAATCAGTGAATGAAGATCTTCATCCAAGACTCTTTTGAGAAGAGATTTATTTGGGAAGGAAGAGTCCCAGAGAGTGTCTGTTCCTGCCAGGTGAAGGACAGCCCACAACTGAACAAGCAGAAGGGCTTCTTAAGGGCTGAGTTTTCACAGGGAGAAGTTTTTTCTGCTCAGGGATTGGTTATTTAGTTGGTCAGGGGCAGCAATGGCTCTGATTTCAGAGCCAAACTGTGTTTCTTTCACTGGTCCTTTTTATCCTTTTGGCTCTAATCTTAGGGCCAGGGCATACTTCTTTCTCTGGCTCTGTTTCAAAGGACAAAGTGTGTTTCTTTGGCACTGGTTTCAGAGTCAGGGTGTGTCTCTTAGGTTCTGGGTTCAGGGATAAAGTGATTCTTTCCCTGGTTAAGGTATCAGATCTGGGGTATGTTTCTTTCACTGGCTCTGGGTTCAGGGTCAGGATGCTCAGGAATTAGTTGGTTCCCTGCATAGGAATTGGTTGATTTTGTATTTCAGTTGTACAGGGGCAGAAACAGTGCTGATTTCAGGGTCAAACTGTGCTTCTTTCACTGGTCTTTTTTAGTCTTTTGGCTCTAAATTTAGGTCCAGGACATATTTCTTTCACTGGCTCTGATTCTAGGGACAAAGTGCGGTACTTCAGCACCGGTCTCAGAGTCAGGGCGTATTTCTTTAGTTCTGGGTTCAGGACTAAAGGAGTTTCACTGGCTAAGGCCTCAGTGCCAGGTGTGTATTTCTTTCACTCTAATCTCAGAAACAAACCATAAACAAACATAGCTTTCTGAGAAACATATTAGAAGCTATTATAAAGAGAGTCTCTGACCATTCAGGTTGTACATAAACAGGGTACAACAGCTGCTGATCTTTTAAAGGTACAAATAGCCCTACATTTAAAATGGTTGACACAC